CGCCGGCCGTCCCCGCCCTCGGCTCTGTGGCTCACGTGGCTTTCATTTCTGGGGTCGAGGTTCTGTCCTCAGTCTGTGGGGGGTTTTTGTTTGTTTTTTTTATTGTTTTTGTCTGTTTTTTGGTACTGGGGATTGAACTCAGGACCTTGGACTTGTGAGGCAGAGCAGTGCCACTGAGCCCGGGCCGAGTGTGTGAGCTGCCCTCTCACACCCTCGTGGTTTAGAATCAGTAGTGTTTGGCCTCCGGGTTGTTCCTTTCCGTCCAGGTTGCTCAGCCCGTTCTGAGTCTTTGCTGCAGCCTGTGGCTTTGGGTTGTGAGGAGTGAAGTCATGGGGCGTGGGGGGCGCAGGTCTGCGAGCCACCTTGGGCAGCATGGACGGACGTCACAGTCTGTTAACCTCCCTGTCCATGCCCAAGGGCGCTCTCCCCAGTTTCGGTGTCTTTTTCAGATTCTGCCGTCAGTGTTTTGAATGTAATTTTCTTTGCTTCCTGGTTAAACATATTCCTAAGTATTTGGTTTGGTTTTATTTTTGTATCTGTAATGAATAGATCGTGTTCTTCTCAGAAAGTTTGTCTTTTAATTTTTTTTTGTACCAGCCAGCAAACTCAGTACCTCGTGCTTATAAGGCAGGCCTGGTGTCCCTGAGCTACATCCGCACCCCCCTTTTAATTTTTTGAGACAGGGTCTCGCTAAGTCACTAATTTGTCCATGGGGCCTTGAACTTGCTATCCTCCTGCCTCAGCCTCCCAGAGTGCTGGGATCTCAGGTGTGCCCTACTGCACCAACTCTGTATGTTAATTTCGTGTCCTCCAACTTGAGTGAATCGGTCCATCTTTGCCTCTGCGAGTAGAGTCATTAGGTTTGTCTGTGCCTGGGACCAGGGGATCTACACATGGGACAGCCTGGCATCATCTTGTTCTGCTTTTCTTTCTCCGCTGGCCTGCACTGTGAGTGGCGGCTGTGCACGGCCTCCTGCCCGTGCCAATCCCCGGGCTCAGCGTACTGGCCGTGGCAGGCCTGTGACTCCTGTGTGGAGGAAGGGCCTCCCACGCCAGCAGTGGGCTCCGTGTTGGGTCCGAAGTGCTGCCTCTGGTGGACTGAGCCATATGATTCCCACCCACCCCGTGGCCATTGTGCTGCAGCCCCATGTGACGAACCAGCCCAAGTCCCCAGACGGGTGAGGTTGGGCCACAAGGGACCTTACTGTGCTGCTGGGGGCACGAGTGAGGCGTGCCCAGGATGCTGTCCGCTCTGTGCCTGGAGTTTGTGTCACTCGTGTGAGTCCAAGTTCTCACCCACCCCAGCCTCACACTTGCTGTGTGCGTGTGGACAGGTGAACAGTGCGCAGACCCTGTGCTTTGCTCCTGGGATCTGGGATCCGCCCACACCGTGTTCCCAGCCACCCAAGCTCCCTGCTGAGGCAGGCGCTGGCACGCAGGGGGTCACTCTTCAAGTCTGTTCTCTGGGTGGACTGGGGATGCACGTGGGTGTGTATCTGTGTATCGTTTTCCGGCCACTCCTCTTCCCACGCCATGTTTATTGCGTAGTTAAAGCACTCGGGAGGCTGAGGCAGGAGGGTCACTTGGAGTTCAGGGCGATGTGGGCTATGCAGTGAATTCAAGGCCGGCCTGGACTACATAGGGAGAGCCTGTCCCAAAAAGATAAAAAGAAAATCAAAATGCCTATGAAACACGTGTGACTCAGGGAGCCTCTTCCTGCAGGGATCAAGGATTTCATGTGTGAGTTGTGCGGAAAGACGTTCAGCGAGAGGAACACGATGGAGACGCACAAGCTCATCCACACAGGTGGACGCGTGGGCTGAGTGCCCCCCGCCTGACCTGGGGACGTGGGCCAGGCTGAGGGACCCCGCTGACCCAGCCCCTGTGTCTGTCTGTCTGTCTCTCCGCCCCTCCCACGTCTGCACCCGCAGTGGGCAAGCAGTGGACGTGCTCCGTGTGTGACAAGAAGTACGTGACGGAGTACATGCTGCAGAAGCACGTGCAGCTCACGCACGACAGAGTGGAGGCGCAAAGCTGCCAGCTGTGCGGCACCAAGGTGTCCACCCGTGCGTCCATGAGCCGGCACATGAGACGCAAGCACTCGGAGGTGAGCGCCTGTGGGCAGCCGTGCGCCCTGGGGTAGCTGGGCTCACCCCTCAGCGCCGGGGTAAGTACAGATAGTTTATTTATTGTTGGTTTTATTAGTACCCGAGAATACTCCAGAAACATAGTGTTTGTCCTTAAGAAATTCAAAGTAACAAAAAAAAAAAAAAAAAAAAAAAAAAAAAAAAACAAAGTCGGGACGTCAATATCGGAATGTGCTTTAGAAGAAAAGGTGGCGCCGTCCTGAGGGGAGGCTGTGGAGGGCGCAGGGAGCAGAGGAGCCGGGGGCAGAAGAGGGTCGGGTCCGCCTGCAGCTGCTCGGGGCTGCTGTGGGTCAGGAACACAAGCCAGGAGCGAGCGGACGTCAGCCCATAGCGCGCCCAGCCTGCCCCGCTGCTGGTCCTACACATGATGCCGCAGGGAACCACAGGACTCTGATCTCAGACAGCGTATCTACAGGCACAGCGAGGGTGAATGCCCTTGTCTCCGAAAAAAGCCCTAACCCCAGGCCACAGTACACAGCTTTCCATTTCTACTTTTGTTAGCTCAACAAAAATTAGTCTGGTTTGGTGGCATAAGCATGTAACCCCAGCACCTGGGAGGCTGAGGCAGGAGGGTCCCTCTGAGCTCAAGGCCAGGCTGGGCTACACAGTGAGCAGCTGCTGGGATGAGGAACCTCGCAGACAGCTGTTTGCAGTGCCCCGGCCTCTCCTGGCCATCCCTTGGCGAGTCCCCTCCCCTGCCATGTGACATGCAGTGTGCACAGGGAGGGGAGGGCGTGAGCATCTCCGGCAGGACCCTGGGCTGTCGCGAGGCAGAAGTCCCAGCATCGCTGTCTGAGTGTCCTGGCAGCCAGGGAAGCAAGGCTGGGCCTGCAAGAAGCCAAGGGCAAACAACCCCGCAGCCTGCCGTGAGTGAGGCGCTACAGGGCAGGCGCTGCGGGGCCGCGGCAGAGGGGCAGCAGTGCCCACCAGACAGCGCAGACTGGGCTGGGGTATGGTACCCTGGGCCCCGCCGTCCTCTCAAAGCCGCTGCCCCCAGGTGTTGGCCGTGAGGATCGACGACCTGGACCACCTGCCCGAGACCACCACCATCGACGCCTCATCCATCGGCATCGTGCAGGTGAGCTGCCGCGCCAGGCCTGGGAGCGGGGGAGTCCTGCGGGCTGC